CTTGTGAGTGGACACACCGCCATAGTGACAGTATTGGGCAGCGCCACTCATCTTGTGAGTGGACACACCGCCATAGCAGCATGTACAACACTCCCCAATAGGAAGAAAACCCGCTGGGTTGTTCATCCTGTCACTTGTACCCAAACACAGCTGGGACTGAAGTGCTTATGATGAGAAATGTTCAGCGCGTACCAACATTATTTACGTTCCCACACCATTAAGGTTGGAAGTAGGCGGAGGCCATGACACCGCATCTTTGGGGTAGGTCGGCCGGTATGTTTAGGCTGATGGAGTCTGGTGGTGGGGGAGATAAGGTCCCGGGGGGGGGGCCTTCCCCCGCCACTCCCTAGTATTTGGTCTGTAAACTATTTTATCACTTGGCCCGGTATGTCTTATCCAGCGTGTCGAGGGCTGGTGCGGCCCCACCAACCAGTGAGTGCATGGAGCAGCAGTACGTGTGGAAGTCCCCGCCCTCCCAAACCTCCCTGTGTTGACTCCTTCGTCACCGCCTCCTTGGTCACTGGAGCACCCGGTCACTTGGACGGCCGGGATCACGGCCAGTCATCATGTATCAAGGTCAGTGGGTAACATCCTGGATGAATGACGCACTCCGCTGCCGTGCTTGAGGGGAGGGAAGAGTGCATGGAGATAGCAACAGTGCCGTTGTGAGAGTGAAATACTGGCCTTGTGTACATTGATCTCACGCCGTCTCCTGTATTTTGTTACCGTTGTTAAGTGGGTTTCAGCAGTAGCGCACGCCATGGTGAGTCTCCTGCGTCTGTTCTGAATGATGAGCAACGTCGGTGGTTCTATTCATGATGATTACAGTTGTCATATTAAAACAATTACCGAACTTCATATAGCTTCTGAGTAGGACTGACGAGGAGTGCTGCAATAAAAGAAAATTGACCAAAATATTAATCATTTCGTTCCTTATTGTCGGGGACAGAACTGTTTGCCTTATCGAGGTCTCACTTCCTAGCGGCTGGCCCTTCCTGCCACCCACAACAGTCGACTGTTTAACAAAGTCTTCAGATGTAAGGAAACGTCTCGACTTCCCTGGGAATCGAACCAGAGACTTACATAAACTGTTGTATCCAGCTCATGTATGCGCAATACGGACGGATTCTGACATGTATATGAGTGGGATTCTCATATACATTGGACATGTATATGAGTGGGATTGGGTGGTTATAGATAGGAGCTGCCTCGTATGGGCCAATAGGCCTTCTGCAGTTGCCTTTGTTCTTATGTTCTTCTTATGTTCTGATGTAGCGAGACTGCTACCCAAACACCGGGTTTAAAACTTCCTTGAAGCACTACGACGGTTCCTGTTGGTAATCCACCCCCCCCCCTCATCCATGTCTTATAAACTGCAGTCCACATTATCGTAGAAAAATATAATTCGCCTGGGCCGTAAGGATAAAATTCTTATGGATTAAACCCGAGGTCGTTGCTATATTAACCAGAATTTGGTAGCAGTCTAACTACCTCTCAGGTCCTTCACTAATGTCATAATTCATGGTTTGGTTAGTATAGTGAGTGATGGCTTTGTATTTTACAGTTCTGAGTTCGATCCAGAGAACGCGGCTGTAGCGGGTTCACAGTAAGAACGTAGTTGGAAAAGAGGGGAAGAGGCGACATTAAAGGTTGGGAACTTCTCAGAATGATATGCAACGTGATACGCAGACAATAGACAATAAGTCAGTTATATATATATATATATATATATATATATATATATATATATATATATATATATATATATATCAGTTGCATATTGTCCTGGGGACCATTCAGGCTTGTTCGCATATATATATATATATATATATATATATATATATATATATATATATATATATATATATATATATATATATATATATATATATATATATATATATATATATATATATATATAGGTCCTTAATCCTAATTATTTTAACATTTTAACACACATACTCACACACACACACCAAAATAGGTGTAGGGAGCAGGAGGCCAGATACAAGGTATCACCTGGGAGATGAAATTTTTCAAGAGTCAGAGAAAGAAAAAGACTTGGGGGTTGATATCACGCCAGACCTGTCTCCTGCAGCCCATATCAAGAGGATAACATCAGCGGCATATGCCAGGCTGGCCAACATAAGAACGGCATTCAGAAACTTGTGTAAAGAATCATTCAGAACTTTGTATACCACATATGTCAGACCAATCCTGGAGTATGCAGCCCCAGCATGGAGTCCATATCTAGTCAAGGATAAGAGTAAACTGGAAAAGGTTCAAAGGTTTGCCACCAGACTAGTACCCGAGCTGAGAGGTATGAGCTACGAGGAGAGACTACGGGAATTAAACCTCACTTCGCTGGAAGACAGAAGAGTTAGGGAGGACATGATCACGACATTCAAGATTCTCAAGGGAATTGATAGGGTAGATAAAGACAGGCTATTTAACACAAGGGGCACACGCACAAGGGGACACAGGTGGAAACTGAGTGCCCAAATGAGCCACAGAGATATTAGAAAGAACTTTTTTTAGTGTCAGAGTAGTTGACAAATGGAATGCATTAGGCAGTGATGTGGTGGAGGCTGACTCCATACACAGTTTTAAATGTAGATATGATAGAGCCCAATAGGCTCAGGAACCTGTACACCTGTTGATTGACGGTTGAGAGGCGGGACCAAAGAGCCAGAGCTCAACCCCTGCAAGCACAATTAGGTGAGTATATCCCCAGGAAGCAGCCTGTAGTAGCTGTCTAACTCCCAAGTGCTTATTTACTGCTAGGTGAACAGGTGCATTAGGGTGAGAGAAACTTTGCCCATTTGTTTCCGCCTCCGCCGGGGATCGATCCCGGACCCTTAAGACTACGAACCCCGAGCGCTGTCCACTCAGCCGTCAGTAACATGGATGACAATCAGACACCCAACCCATACATCTGAAAATAAATGGAGTGACGACGTTCGGTTCGATGACGGGAGACATCTCCCGTCACGCAGGGTGCAGTCGCACCTCTACAGATCTCCAGTATCATCTATTGATACTGGTAATGGCTCAAAAGGGCCACCACTTACGGGCTATTCGTGCCCGTACTCCGGTACTGAGGAAGGTACTCAGTGGCTAGATAGATACCCAACAGCTCAGTCTGTGTCGTGCTTGCCCAGTTGTTCAGTCTTTGTGTACTAGACATGATCATTTCATTCCCTTATTATACTGCACATGCACAACCTGTTCTACCAGTGCCTAATTGCACACAACCATCAGTAAAGGCATAGGATTCATTTGGAAGGAGGTATAGGATGAAAGAAAGCTCTTTTAGCTTGAGAATAAGTACAGCTGATGAAATTTAAGGGATAATCAAGGCAGAATAATCTGTAAAAAAAGAATTTACCTTAATTTACCCGAGGGCCACTAACACTAGTGGCTTCGACGAGGGCAGGAAGCTGGCGGCTTGTTAAAGTTCCCCCCCATAAATTTTCAAGATGAGATTCAGAAATTTCAGAATCTTGAAAATGAGGTCACTAATGTGTAGGACCCGAAGGAAGAGGGAGACGAGAACAGAAGGACGATGGTAGGAAAATAAATGAATGTACATATCACTGTACATTGGCTTGTGGCCGACAGAGAAGCTAGACAGAGCTGTAAACATGAACCTCTAGGACAAAGGGGAAAATTAGATTCCCACTCAACTTTAGTATTTTAAAGGTTTCGATGAGATCTGCCCTGTCATATCTGGTTTGTAGTGTTGTTAGTCCTGTGGCCCTCAACTTTTCCTGTATGTATGAGAGTTGATGGACCTAGTTCTTGGATAATTGTTGTCGCTCTGTGTTCAACTTTCTCCAAAACAGATATATCCTTGCCTGTGTTAAGTTTTAACAAGTGAACTTTGCAACCATTTGTCAGTTCACTACTTTATAATACATAAAAGTAACAGTTTTATTATGTTTGCAATTCACGAAATTAAAAAAAACGAAAAGCAGACACTGTCACTATGTATATATGCTGGGTAGCATTGTAAATGTGTGGCCACGTCTGTGGTAAAAAATAATAATAATAATAAACTGTCACTATGGGTATGGGGGTGCATCATAAGCATATAAAAAATATATATAACTAGTTCACAACAAATGTAAATTAATATTGCTTATGTTATAGATTGTCATTTCAGTGCTTGAGTCATTTATACTATAAGACTAATTTGTGTAACTAAATGAATTTCGAAGTTCAGTTCCTGAACCCATTGTATGTGCCTCTTCTTTCTGCTATGCTTATATAATGGGTATGAAACTATGTGGTCCATTACTGCTCACTTGATGGGGTCTATTACCGCTCACAGGATTGGCATGGGGTCTACTTTCCCTACACAGGATGAGTATAGGATATACTACCACTCACAAGATGGGTATGTGGTTTACTTCCCCCACACAGGGGAAGTAAAAAAAAAATAGCAGTTAGTAACAGTTGATTGATTTACAGTTGAGAGGCGGGCCGAAAGAGCAGAGCTCAACCCCCACAAGCACTAGGTGAATACAGGATGGGTATGGTGGGTCTTACCGCTCACAGGATGGGTATGGGGTCTACTTCCCCTACACAGGACAGGTATGAGGTCTACTACCGCTCACAGGATGGGTATGTGGTCTACGTCCCCTACACAGGATGGGTATGAGGTTCACTACTGCTCACAGGATGGGTATAAGATCCACTACAGTTTATAGGATGGGTATAAAGTGCAATACGCTTACAGGATGGGTGTAGGTTGCATAATTAATGCACCAAACTAATACCCTTAACTTCCAAAACTACTAAGGTGCTCCAATATGGCCTCCTATGCCCCGAGGAAATTTATTTTTAATGAAATACATGTATAATAGCTGTATCGAGTGGTATCGAATATCGAGTGGCATTGCAAAAACGTATTCTACGATATATTTTAACATCATCTTTTGTAATATTCTATAATTTACTCTGTTTTGCAAATAAATGTTTACATTTAAGGAGGAGATAAGTTTAGGCAGGGATCCCCCGGGTGAAGGGTGTAGTGGCGGAGCTGCCAGCTGATGCTCCCAGACCTCCCTCTTCCTCGCTCCTCTTCTCTAATGGCGGGTAATGCTATAGATGGCTATTTGATAACCGGTGGGCCGTACATATGTTACTTGATTATTGTCTTGGTTGCAGGCGAAATGGATTCGTTATCCCTGTTAGGAGTACCATGTTTCGTGTTGCTCCATAGAGGAGAGTGTGGGTTGGGCTTTGCAATATTAAACTGTTTAATACGCTAAATAAATTTCAGAACCATTGTTTTTAGATGTATAATATTTACAAATAGTCTAAATGCCACAAGTCCATGTAAATCACACAAACATTATGTTCACAGTGAACGAAGTAGTAAAAATACTTGACAATCTTTAGCTCTTACTAGCATGAAGCTATTAATAAAAACCATTGATATGAAACGAATCTCTTGATCTTGTAAATATAGTATACTTACAAAATATTTGTTTTAATTGTCCATTTGGCTACATTCTTGCCTCACAATCAGGAATCTCAATTGTGAGGCATTCTTTGGTGGGGTTCGATTTTGAGGTTCGACTCATGGTTGGGACAGAGGAAACTTGACTTCAACATGCACCTACATCACATAGCCAAAACATTTATTCAAAACAGTTGGCATATTTTAAATTATATGATACTACTGTACATCTCCTACTCTGTTTTTGTACGATATTACTCGCTACTTTTTTCCACATCTAAAATAGAGTATTTGCGTGTACAGCTCAACCACCAAAAATTCTCTCAAACTCATCATTACCCACCAAAAATCCGAACTATTGCAAATTGTCTACAGACAGTATACAGCCCCACTGTTCAAATTCCTAAACATGAAAAATAAACCCTGGCTTCATTCATTCTCTTGTGCTATTTACACTTCCAGAGTCTTATTCCTCAATAATAATCCCTGACTTGAAACTCTTCCTAGATGAATGTAATGGAACTCAGGAACCAGAAATATTTATCTTTGGTAATTTCTGAGTTTAACAAAATCTGTGCTAACACACCATGCAAATAAAGGGGCCTAAACTCCCTAATGAAGTAAAAAATTGTGCAACCTATATGCTATTCAAAAAAATTACATAGTAGTACTGGTACCTAATTTCCTTACCACATTACCCTCACCTTGTGCGACTTAACTCTATTAGTACTGTACTATTTTGAAATAACTAAAACTATATAATATCTCATTATCACCACTTTACCATATTACTGTATTAATGTTATTTGTAGTAATTATGTTAATTCGAATTACTCCAATTTTTCATTGTATATACCTCAGTCACTAGTTCTATTTCTTTAAGATTGAATGTTCACCTTGTAACTTAAAATTCATTTAAAATTCTGTAGCTTTACAACTTGCCAAAATTGCTGTGCATTATATAATAGCATTGCAAGCATGTACCAATTAATCACCAAAATCTGCAAGTATCAAATGGGAAAAAAAAATCCCAATGAATTGGATAGAAAATATGACGTGGGTGAATTAATACTGCACCAAACTTGTCTCCCAATATCTGCATCAAATTGATATCGGCTGCATATATAAGGTTGGCCCTTTTTAATGACTGCTATTACAAATTTAAATACGTAGCCATTCAGGGCCTTGTAGACTGTCACGTATATTAGCCCAAGTAGGGTAAAGTCACCCCATACTTGGACAGTTACCAGTCATCAGACATCAGTAGTTTTTCATGAACCATGCCAGAGCTGTCTCGTCTATTCAGTGGTTGCTTTCCCAGCGAGGGTGATTGTAATAATTCCGTGCTCTCTGTACCTCTTTGACGGGGGCCAAGTTCTGGCTCTGGTTCCTAGTAGGCTACCAAGAAGCCTAAGATTGATGTGACGTAGTATTAGAAGGAATCTTGGTGATAGTGACCAAGAGTACAAGTTCATAACAATTTCTGAAATGATAGGTTAATCTAAAGGCCTAATTTATTTTTTAAATCTAAGAATTAGATTTTCAGTCTTAAGTGTATTTTTCCACATCATGCCCAAAAGGCTGTGCATATTAGTGGTTTTAGGCATAGTATATGCTAGTTTTATCTAGAAATCCAACATTCTGCTTGTAACTCATTTGTATGTACAGTATGTACTTTTCTCTTAATAAACATTTTCATTATCATAAAATGTTGATTGCAGTATATAGTGTACTGTATATATATCACTGTATTTTTATTATTTGAAGTCGATACTCTGTGACAATATAAGGTAGTGACAAAACGTACTTTAAATAACCATACATAATTGGTAAGTGTAATATCATGTTTGCTTTTCAGTTAATAGGAGCATTTAAGCAGATTGCAAGATAAGAAAGGCACTCGCAGCCTTTTAACAAAATTGAAAATGCTTTCTGCAAAATGGCTGTATGGCGACGTATAAGAAACAGTGCCTCTGTGCTGATTGTCATTGTGGTTGTGCTCTATATTGGGTACTGCACCGAGGAGCTATACACAAGAGTACAGAATAATCGCAAACTTCAAAGGCTTGCGGAATACGAAAAAGAGGTGAGTTTTCTGACAGTACTAGTATACTGTATATCATTAATGAACACCATTTATCTTAGTCAAATTAATTTTTATTTAAGGATTAATTAAATGAATTAACCAAAGTGTGTTTAAGAGTTATAATGAAATATATAACTACAGTGCATGGATAGTTAATTTATTTAAAATACCCTGTACTGTATATCTAAATTTTAAAGTACAGTACCGTATTTAAATTTATTTGTTGGTGTACAGTATATTTATTTATAATTTGTATGTGCATGCTACATGATTACAGGTGCATATTTGTGAAGTGCCCTTCTGGAAGAGGCAGACAGACAGAGAGAAGGGGGGACAAATAACAGGGAGAAACAGACATAGCAGTAGAGAGCATATAAATAGAGACAGAGGGAGATATACAAAGGGGAGACAGATAATAGTGGGGGACAGAGGGACAGACAAACAGATACAGGGGAACAAACAGACAAGGAAAAGGAGGACAGATATGATGGAGAAAGGGGCAGGCTTACAAGGAGAGAGGGACTAGCAGACACAGAAGAGAAGAGTTGAGGCAAGGCAAACTTTGGGAGTCTCGAGAGTGTATTTGCAAGTTTCCCCATATAACCCCAACATTTTATTTGATTTTCTAATATCCCGATTTGCAATGGTCCAATGTGTAGATGTCTGTGGTGTGTGGACTTCAGTGAAGAGTGAGGCATACTAGTGTATAGTGAACAACACCTTAGGGTGTAGCTCTCTGTAAATGTTTTATCCTTCTCCCTTGCATATGTAGTGCAGGTTACTTGTACAATTTATCTTAATGCCATTTCTAATGGAATTTTTTTCTACCACAGATGTGGCCATACATTTACAATGCTGACAAGCATATATATACATTTTCTTCTGTCCTCTACAGACAGGGTTAGACTTAATGGAAGTTTGTGTAGACAGCTTTACAATAATTTTGCAATCTGCCATATAGTTAAAAATAATGTATGTTTAGTAACTACAAAATTTCTTGCAAAATGTCTTATCCTGACTGTTTTGTGATTCAGATTGATGAGCTGACAGAAATGTTGGGGGAATACAAAAAACATGCCAACAGTGTTCAAAGGAGCATCAAACTGTTGCAGGAAATTTTTGGTCAAATAAAGCTGAGCCAGAAACCAAAGATTGTTAGTGACAGATGATACCAGCTAAAATGTTAAGATATGTCACACTTAATCAAGGTGAGTGCCAACTCATATAAATAAGAAACCCAACAAAACTGACACAATCTTCCATCATCAAGTATGTTGTAGTGCTGCTGGAGGCCAATTTGAGCATCACTGGTCAATCAAATATTTATGAAGAATTGATTGCAATTAATAGTTACCAGAGCTGTTTAAATTGGCCTCCATTAGTAACAATATAGTCTTGTCTTCTGGAAAAAAGTGGTTGCATATGTTTTGGAGCCATCCTTCATTCATTATTATTCTTAAAATGAACCGTTTATAAATACTGTACTTTGAATATAATTAAACAAAGTTACTACTCAGACCAACTGTGCAGGGATTTCAATAGATGTCTATGGTTTTCAACTTGGAAAAGTCACGACTATCTCTTTTTTTTTATGCTTTAAAAATTCAGTCTGCTTAATTTTACTTGTAAATTTTGTCGTCACACATCATACAACAGTTATTAGTATTATTGTGTACTTAGCTGATTGGATGGAGCATAGTACTGGTAATGGTTCCCCATGATACTCTGTAGCATCTTGGCAAACGTATCCGTGGCATTTTCTCCGGGGCTCTGTGGGGAGCCCGGAGCTTCAGGTAGCCTCCAGGGGCTCACCCAGAAACTGGCATTTCATTACATTCAATGCTGGATTTTATGCCTTTTTTCTTCTTCAGTGCTCTTGTATTCTTGGGACTGATTCCTACTCACCCCATGAAAATGTGAAGCATTAATAATGTTGCTGATGATGATTATGGTGTACTGGTGAGTGTACTGTTTTTATTTGCTACAAGGATCTAAACCCCTAATCATCTACTTAACCACTAGTCAGTTTGTGCTATGACAAACATGAAATATGCCCGATCCAAGTAAGGGTTCAGAATTTTTCAAAGTTTTATTTAAATCTTATTAATATTACACTTGAAAATGGGTAATTAGATATCTCTTAAAATATATAAATACATATAAACACTGTATGGTGTAATTTGTTAAGTTTTAGATAATTAACTGGTGTACAGAGGAACCTCAGTACTGTACTCGAATGGCTCCTAACTTGAACAATTCGGTACTCAAATGCCGTGTTCATGCTTAGTAGTTGACCTTTGCTCAGCACTCAATTGTAAACATGCGCAATGAACGAGTCAGTTTCCCAGTAGCTGTTATTCAATGCATATTCCACTAAACTTCTCTGTAAACTTTCTGGTGTTTTTCTTGGATATTTTTGCACTCTATTCTTAGTATAAATAAGTCACCGTGGTGCCTAAAGAAGTTGCTGATGTGAGCCAAAAGAAAAGAAAATTATTTTTGAAGCACGATGAAAAAAGAGAAATCTGTGCAAAATATGAAAATGGTGCCCGTGTGTCTGCTCTTGCTACAAATATCATTGGACATGTTTGTTGTAAAAATAGCATTCATTGAGTCTCAAGAGGTAAATAGAAAAAGACAGACAAGAGAGAGAGAGAACCCCAGAAGCACCTTAACCTGAATAAAAAAAAAACTTAGTTTTTATGGTAGGGAATTTTCCTGCTAAACAATAACATCTCTGCTCCTCTTCCTCACCACCTTCCACATATACTTGCCCAACCACTTGGGCTGGACGACAGAGCAACGGTCTTGCTTCATGCAAGACTGCGGTCAATCCCCGACTGTCCAGGTTGTTGGGCACCATTCCTTACACCACAACATCTCCCCACCCCCTGTCCCATCCCATACCCTTATCCTGATTCCCTTGCAAGTGCTATGTAGTCGTAATGGCTTGACGCTTTCTCCTAATAGTTCTCTTCCTCTTCCCTTCCACATATGCCATCAACTCTCCTAAGTACAGGTAAAGTGAGAATATATTTGCATTTATCTAATTTTATTCATATGCATATTTTTTCTGGTCTGGAATGGATTAATCCATTTTACATTATTCCTTATAGGAAAAAATTATTCTGTACTCAAATTAGCATTCAAATGGCCTCCTGGAACCAATTAAATTTGAGTACTGAAGTTCCACTGTATATACAGTATATAGTGTTGGTGTATTTTCAGGTAACCAAGAAACCCTATTTTCTCCATACTGCACTGATATTTACGATACAATATGTACTTGTATTTTTATTTTTTCACATGAAAATATTGCTGCTTCATTTACAATAAACAAAAAGTTTAATATAAAAATCTTTGGTTTGTATTTTGTAAATTTTCTTTTGATTTTAAGGCTATTGATAAATATTTTATTTTAGTTTAACTTTGCATTCATCAAGACTTTATTGCAGAAAACATTATATTTACAGGATGATTTATTTATTAACAAATGGTGTCACAAAAGTATGTAACTATGTATTAAGCAAGTTTTCTTAAAGAAAGGTACATAAGGTTTATTCAAGTTGTTGGGTGTTTATGACATTTCATCAAGATAAAGCTAATAATTTGGAAGATTGTGATTATGTTAAAAGGAAATGTAACAATAATACAGTAGGTCAAGAAAATGTAATTTATTTCTTGTATGAATCTCTGTAAGTGCATTTGCCGAGGCAGCAATACATATTCGGTACTATATGTACAATATGTATGTACTCTATCATACAATCATAATACAGTACTTAGGGAAATTACCAATTTAAACTTGCATTAGCACATTCCTAAATTTCAAAATATAGTATTACAAGCAAGAATTTCACAAGTAAGAATGTTACACGAAAAGGCCGTGTACTTATGTTTTTGATGTACAGGTTCAGATTAACTGTTGTGTGTAATTGTAAATTATAAGTTTCCACTGTTAAAAAGATCTGTTGAAGAACCTGCTTAGGTATTCATTATGTAGAATGATCTGTGGTATGTTTATATACAATTTTATATGTGAAACATGTATGACAGTTACATAAATGATAATGGCATAGTTAATCATACTGTATATGCCTGTACTCCGATACTTCAAAAACATGAAATCGACTTGATAATGGTCCAGGACGAACCGAAATGTCGTTGTCTCTGCATATTTTCATATGCAAACTCATCGTCTGCATATGAAAATATGGTAAGAAAATATTGTGGTAATTGGATGGGAGTAGACACTTGTCTATCTGGATGCCCCAGAAACACACTGCCCACTGTACCATGATGAGCTTAACAGCATCTTGACCAGTTTTCCTGAACTGATTTGGAAGTTGACTAGCTGGTACCTCAAGTTCAGAAGAACTTCTGATTGAGATGCTTTTAAGCTCATCACAATTCAGTGTGTAGTGCTTCTTTCTGGGGAATACAACACATGAGCTCAGTCCCACCTGTTGCCACACTATTTTCTCATGGATAATTCACATTACAGTACAGTGATTTCATTCTGTAAGAATTTATTGTGTTCTTTGTTGGAAAAGTATTTAAAATTTTGAACAGGTGCCAATAATGAAAGGTTTTTATTAATAATACTGTAGTATTGAAGAGACAAAATTATTTTGATGTACAGTGGCACCTCGATTCAACAAACCTCTTTTTGGCGAATCTCCAGTTTCAATGTACACTTTCCAGGCTGGATTTTCTTGCCAGATTTGACGAATAAAATTTTGCTGAAGCGGGGGATGTGCGGTTTGCTTACTAAAGATGTTGAGCCAGAGTTCATACAGGTGGGAATATTGTCCTTCATATAAGAAGTTGAAATTAAAATCATGTTTAATTAAATTAGCCCATAGACCATGGGAAATAATAGAATATGAATGGTAGCTTTCTTAACCATTAACCTCTGCACTGCACACCTGTTTTTGGCATAAATTTCAAGGTGCAGTTCTTAAGGACATATTTTGTTTGTTTTTATAAATGTTCAGATAATGTTAATGTTTCCAGACTCAACCATTTCAAATCAAGAGTGATGAAACATTAAAATATGGCCTAATTAATAACAAAAATCCCACAACCCTCGGTTAAGCACTTAAGTGGTTAAACACGGTTATTGTCATATATTGATTCACAGGGTAATGCAGTTATCATTGTATGGCGATTTAAACCATTATTGTCTGGGTTTTACACGTATGATGCAAATAAGGATATAATAGTTCTCTGTCGATGTAAGGAAGTTTACCATGACCCATGGAAAAAAATCCTGCTAGTGTTTCATAGTTACATTACTGTGAGAATTCACAGTAATACACCATAAGGGTAAGGGAAGTAATACACCTCCAACATATGGAGGTGGTGGAGGCCAAGACCGTCAGTAGTTTCAAAGCGTTATATGACAAAGAGTGCTGGGAAGACGGGACACCACGAGCGTAGCTCTCATCCTGTAACTACACTTAGGTAATTACAGAGTATATTAGAAATTTTGCATTTTTCTGCTGTTTGTTTGATTCACATGTCCCTTAGTAAAATCCTTGGTGAATCTGATTCCTTTAGCATCACTCATCTCTATATCATATTGCTCTCATATTGGCATCGTGAATGGTTCCTATAGCCTTTGGAATACTCTATTATGTGACAGAGTGCTTACTTTGGGCTTGATGCTTTATGATAATTACTGTATTTATTTTTGTTACTTGGCCATGGTGCTATAGGTTGCAGGAGCACAATAGACTTTTGCTGTATTCATAGAGAGCCCAGCCATCTTAAGTCTGCTTGCACAACTCGACCAGCTTGATGCATTAATTTTGGTACTTTCCACCCTACTTTCTCTGGGTCCTATGTTTGATATAAAATAGAACAGTCCATACAGTACTGTGTCTTGGACACAAAGATAACATTACCTTTTCAGGCGAGACATTAACTACATCAACTGGCATTCTTCATTGATGTCCATAAATAATCGCACTGCTCATCAAGCCACCATAACTCGCAAATGATCGACTCATCACCCATTTTGTTTTCACACTCGTCCACCTTAGTTTAGTTATCTGCACCACCTGTTCTCATTATGCTATCCATGGGAATAATACTCTAAAACTCGCTTGCATAAGTGAAACGACTGACTTGTGAGGGTTATCCAAGGGGTTAGGTGAACTGTGGTCACAAATCTTCTGGGGAAGAAAAATTGAGACAGTATGGTGCCCCAATATTACAAATATTGGTGGGGTGGGGCCCCTGTTTTCATGATTTTAATGACAAAACTATCAACCCAATTCACTATCTTTCGGATTTCAAACATTAATGTGCACCATCTACTTGGAAATTTAGAGCAAAATTTAAATACAATATAACAAATTGCAATACAGTATACCCTGTTTCCAATAATATAACAATGTTGTAGAAATGTAACATAATATTCTTAAACCCACCCTTTATATTTTGTATAATTATAGGATTTGTTTATATTACAGTACTCTGTACTAAAAATGAATTATCTCACATTAGATATCAAATGTATGATTATTATGAATGTAATAATGCTTATAAACAAATGCTTTACTAATACAGTACAGTATATTAAAGTATTTTAAAGTACCATACAGGGGCTTCTGATGGTTATCCCCTAATTATCTGAATCTCCCGACATGATAAATATAATTCGATGCATTTCTGGCTGCTCATACTGTTCCTTATTAGAGTGGGAAGAATCTTGCCAATCCAGGATTGCAGTGGATGTAAATGTAAACAAGTTTATTTTTATGAAAATTTTATTTTTCCATGTTTTTTATATATTTGTAGTAAGTATACACCTTAATAATGATGCCACAGTAACTTTTGGGGTATTTGCATTTTCAAGTTTATTTCATGATTTCTATTTTGGAGATTATCTCATAATACTTGACTGTACAATACTACACTGTGAGATGTGCTGGCATAGGCAACCAGGGATGCATTCCTTGATTACCATAATTCAATCAAAATGTATACATTATACTGTATAGTAGTCATAGCTTCTTTGTAGTCCCACCCAGTGGGTCGTTCTCCCATTGTATATCAACTTTTCAAGGAGCCAATGGAATTTTGTTTGTAAATGTTTTGTCATTTTACATAAAATACTGTGGAAGTGCGGTGTATTTACTAACATATTTGTGGCTGTGTGTTACTAGTGATGAGGGCCATAAATCTTACAGTTGCCTGTATGCATGCCTTCCAAACTTAATTATGAAGAATCAGTGTCTTATGGTTTTAAAAATCCATCCATTACTGGTATATTAATAAATTTATCAGATAGTGATGAATGACAATGTTAATCAGAAGATATTTTATTATCAATGGAATGTTAACTTTGTAAAAAAAAATGCCTGTTCTTTTATTTTTAAAGTAGTGGGTTTATTGTACTGTACAGTATTTCATTTAGTGTATTTTTTATTCTTATATATTATAAAGGTGGTTCACTGGAGCTTCATGAGAACTGTAGTAATATTGTTAATGTTATAACATTGTTGATCTTTATATTTTGAATGACTCTTCAAAGCTATGTCTTAGAATCAGTTCTGAAATTCTGAGAAAAAGCACACAATATGAAAGAAAGGTGTCGGATTAGATGATGAAGCTCTTAAATTTTCTAGCTACTGTACTTTGTTATACAGTATGTGTAAATAAGCAAGAAAATATTTTTTTCAATTAATGGATTAGATAAACAAACTTAGTTCAGTATGGAAGTGTCTTCCAGAAACTACAGTACTAAGAAAGTCTCATTGTTAGATTTTTCTTTTTAGAATCTTTGTTAAGCATTAATACATTGGTTTAAATAATTTAATATTCTTACTTTAAATTAAAATATAATTTTCCTAAAACAAGTATAATTATCCAGTTCTGCATTAAACATGTTTTATTCAAACAATTCCACAAGGACCGTGATGAGAGTTCGAACCTACGTACGGGATGTACGAAATCTCTCATTACTGTATTGTGATTTCTGTGTGTTTTATTCTGTCATCATCACCAGCTTATATTCACTACTAATTGAAGGTCTTGTATATTTTCACTTTTCCCTTTATTGCATTTTCTGCATGTTTGAATGTCTATATATAGCCTTCCTCATGTCAGTCCTGGGCTCAAACTCCTGCTTGGTACCAGTTTGGATCATTGGCAATACAGTATTGTGAATATTTCTAGCTGACAATCACAAATGCCAATTCTTGGTTCAGACAGCCATCTGCTTCTGCCTGCCTTCACTATGTCACTTTTAGTATTAAGTTCTGGAAAGAGCAGCACTGCTATAATAACTTTTAGTGTACAAAATGTGTAAACAAATCTGAGAATTGTTTTTTGTTACACCTGGTGGCCAAATGTTGTTTAGGATTATTTCAGTGATGGATCCTGTTTGTCACACAGGATGAAAAATTTCAGACCAAACTTGTGCCACTTTGGTGGTACTGTACATACATCCTTTGAACAGTACGAGACTTATCAACAGTAATGTTCTGCATCAGTATATAAAAAACTTGTATTTGTCCAGGTCCATCAAGATGTTCCTCATTGTCTGCAGTCTGTTGCTTTCATTAGTTGTCATTATCCTCAAAGTGAATGCATCCGAAGAGCATAAATCCATCACATGACTAACTTTCTGAATATGGGAGGTCAGGATAACGGCACCTTTGTTCCAATAATTATCAATAACATGTTTCTTTGCATTTGTAATCAACATTGAAAGAATAGGAATGCACTGTATGCAGTTTATTCACATTTCTCTCCATCACTGTGCAAGAGAATGAGGAAAGTCCTCAGATTCCATTCCTGTTGCTGCCTATTTTTGTCTCCCTCACAAGGCATTCCTCATCAAAATAACCCATGCAATACTTAATCTCACTCATTTCATCAACAACAAAGTTGTTAGTCACACCTGCATTTGTATAATGGACCTGAGGGATATTTAGTATAAAACCCTTGTGACTAATCATTAAGTGTCATCCATGGTGGATGGTGCAGCAAGCCCACTACAAACAACCACAAGGGCCAGCACACATGCCTGCTATGACTGCCAGCAACAGCACATGCTTAAACAACTAGATCGGTAACTTCAGCAAGAGTTTCACAGCCACAAACGTGTGAATATGTAGGAAATGTCACAATTTGTCATCCATGAGACACCACACAAACCTTGGGGAGGAGCTGGTGATGTAAATTGTCACCACTACTAACCATGCTGTGGCTAGGATCTTCCTCACCGCTCTCACCAGCCACACTAGTGTCACAGTCACCATTATCAGGGTCACTCCATAATGAGATACGCTTATCAGATACCCTCTACTGTGATGTCAGTGGTGTTTCAGCATTCACCAGTGAATTCTTTTATGTGGTGGCACATCCCACTCCCCTCCCTGCCATGGTGTAGTCTCTCACACTCACTTGTCTTGCTCTTTTCTGTTTCTGGTTAAAATTCTGGTTCACTACTATATAAACATCACTGAGGAATTAATATTACCATAAAACTTTGGCAATCTTGCATGAGATCAGGAAAACTGATGTGGGTGAACGTGCATGACACCAGATTTGAAAGACAGTACATCAGACTTCATAGTTTATTCAAGAATGCTGTCCTGCAAGGATTGCCATGCCATGCCCAATTTTCTAAAAGATAAGTCTCTAGAGACCTCTAGAGGTGAATGATATCTTCATAGAACAGGTGGAACATTCAAATACTGAAGGATAGCAAAAATCACCTCAAAGCAATTGGAAGAATGTGTCGGATTGCCAGGGCGGTGATTAGAGCTGGGTGAGTGTTAACAATCATTTTGTGGCAATTATGCTTTAGCCCCTGATTAACGTACCATTGTAATGTCCATTGCTCCTTCTAAAACTATGTAGGGGTCTTATTTATGAAATGCCTCTTTCCCAATCTGTTATGACGTGTTCTAGGCACAAGAGAAGTTTTTTGTGTCAAAAATAAGAAACCTACTAATTCAGTCCTAACCTGTACCCACCCTTACAGAAAGGCCCCATGTTGTCTGTTCCTACACACTCAATTTCATGAGCTCCCTTGACCTTTGACATTCCTCCTTCCAAAATCAATTTGGATTACTCATCTCGTGTAATATCCTTTGTTGGCCCTTAAAGGGCAGTTATCATCCCATGCTAATCCTTAGGGCACTGTAGTAATCATATGGAATGTTTTGTGCACATGAATGGAGGTGCCTTTGATGATAGCTGCACTTTCAGTTAAACTTTGCTATGCAAAAGGATCTAGTTTTTCAAATTATATACTGTATATAGGATTTCAATTAGCCACAGTATCCTTCTCATAACTACAAATTTATACTGTACAGTATTTAAAAATGAGTATCATTCGGTGAATTTTAAGCTAATTTCCTTGTGCTGTATCTCTTGATACAAAAGTATTCTCATGTGCATTTGGCCACTAGCAAATGCTTCATGTACTTATTCTGGAGAGTTTACAGTAACATCTTTTTGAAATACTACAATTCTTTTAATGGTCTTCCTAATAATGCTGCCATTTTAATTTCCAGGATTTTGTTATTTTTCTCTTGACATTTCACTGCTGTTTGTATATTCCTCTGTAAATGACATACTGTACTATTTCTGTACCTACCTCCTATTTGACAATTTTCCTTTCATGATTTTTAAATTCTAGATATTTTACTAGAAAACATATTCTTGTGAGTGTCTTTTAGAACATTTACTTTTTTATTGTTCTTATTGATATTATATTTTGGTACATAGACCAGCATGCTTAAACCAATTATCTGGGAGGGCTCCTTTCTGTACTTCTGTAGGCAACCCACCTGGAGTCCTCCAAATACAGATATCACACAAAGTTCTATTGAATCACAAGCACCTACTGAAGACCAGTAACAAAATCTTGCTCCCTCAATAGAGACTAGGAAATTCTGGGAGTACTAGACTACCACAACAACCACATCCACTAGACTACCACAACAATCTTCCTGGTGATTTTCCTCACCAGGAAGATAGAAGGTAACAAATCGAACAACTTCTTGGACACCTTTTGCAATCCTGATTCGAACTACAATATACTGTACAGTATACACATTGTTAGCGTCACACCCTTACCACCAGATGGCAGACCTGGCAAACCCAAGGGTTTGAGGCAGCTAGCCCAGTCATTCACATACCTGGTGTGCCCCATGGTGCAGGTCCTCTTGGTTCTTCTGGGCTTTACTTTTCAACTAAGTGTTCACCATTTCTTGGTTTCTATCGTGTGCATGGGTGTTCTTGTGCATATTTTTTGTTTTTGTTTGCAAACTTATTGTGTGCCTTGATCATTTATTTACATTGAATGCATGTGGCTTGAGTTGCATTCTGTGGAGATCACCAACATTGTCCCTGCTTTCAATCAAGCTTATCTTCCCTTGAAAAGGTTGTCAAGTCTGCCCTTGGGGTTTAACTCTTCTTGAAGGGTTCTGCCCAAGTGGTGAATGTGCTCTGATTTTCTGCAGGTCTTTGTGGTTGAGGATAGCAGCTTGCATGTTTTGGAGTGCCCCTGTGGGTGCAATTATTCAAGTGGTAACTTATGCCATCCCTCTGCATTTTCCCACGCAGTGGTTATCCAGCTGACCTGTTAAGTATTAGGGGCCGGGGAATTCCATGCAGTTTTCATCTAGCAAGGCTCAACATGTTCTCCACCATAGTCTGGTGCCACTTTTGTTTCTGTGGCTTTTTTTTCCAGGTGTTTCTTAACCTTGAATATGTTGATCCTTGAGCACCCATCTGTCTGAATTTACCCCTCCTGGATTGATAGGTTATTTTTCCCAGTTTTGTATGCTTCTCTCTTTATGGCTTTTGGCTGAGCTGAATTGTTTGAAAAGCAGTTTGGTAGCTTTGTTGCTGCTGGGCTTGCCTGTGCCTGTTTTTGGCAGCCCTCCTTGAGCTCTGGGATCCCCCAGTCTTTGTCCTGCTTTTCAGCATTAGGTCCTGTGTCCTTTGTTTACCAGTGGTGCTCTGCCTTGTCGGTTGTTTTTGGGCGGCTAAAATCTTCCCCCAACTCCTTTGGTGGTTGTGCCCCTCCAGTGCAATTCCCAAGGCCATTTTTCCAAGCTTTGGGATTTTGCAGGATCTTTAAGGATTGCTCCTTCTGAGCCTGGATTGGAGATAGTTAAGCCTGTGTTCCCCTAGGGCTTTACTTCATCTTTAGCAGTTTGGGCCATTGCTGTTGTTCAGAGTGCCCTTGTTGGTGTGCCTTTGTTTTCAGGCGTTGGGCAAGGTTCTTGGTACTGCCCCTAGATCCCCTAGATCCTTTTCTTTTTCTGTTGGGCTGTTTTTATGGTGAAATAGCTCGAAGATACAGAGGGAAACACTTCCAGAAATTGTGTTGAGTCATGGAACACCCCTTTCTGTATTGCCCATTCCCACCCTTCTCTTCCCATAGTGTTTGGGGGATTTTTACCTGCACTATGTTAAAAACCAGGGTATCTGCTTCAGATCTCAGGGTTACCAGGCGTGCCATCCAGTGGCAAGGGTGTTGGGCTAACTAGCAGTTGGACTAGGACAATAAATGTGTACACATAGCGCATTAGGATTGCAAAGGTCCAAGCAGGTACTTTATTTTTAAATCTAACTTTCAGGCATTTTTCCTCATTGTTTACTGTGGTTGTCTAATATCTGCAGACTTTTCTTGTTTCTATTTAGTGGGTCAGATTTTGGTAAAATGATTATGAACGTGATTCGATAAGGTGTAGTTTGGTACCCGAGTTTGGAGGCTTTCAGGTTGGCAGTTAGGGGCAACTTGGTCCATAGCCAGGCTTGTTAAAAGTGGCAACCATTCAATAAGCATTCATCAATTTTAATGTACAGTACTGTGTATTGAAAATATAGT